CCCTGTCCCTTGTGACCATGATAATAGTGTTCCCAATCCTCTGGCGGGAAACACAGCCAACAAAACTGTCACTTTCAACCAAAGACCCTATCTAGAGGCCTTCGTGAAGTGGGCCCTGCTCAGAACCCACTAAGGGCCCCGTGGATTCAAAGAAACTTGTGGTATCAACTTGCTAATTTCACTGTCAGCACAGTAACCCCTTATTCACGTGTTGTATGCATGGGGGCGGGAGGGCCCAAATATTTTGCTGGGGTCCCGCACGAACAAGACCCCTTTACATGTTACACGTGTGATCTCACTGTACATCCACAGTGCCCCCAGAGCCCATATCAGATTACAGCTAGCTTAGGTAAAACTAACTACAGCTTATGTCAAGCTCACTGTCTTCTCAAAGCTTGGTCCACAGCCACCAGTCAATTGGAACCTTATAAATCCTTGTGCACACTCCCACATGCCACAGTCAAATTGCAGTACCCTGCTGACCTCTCGGTCTTGACCCCTGCCCCAAATACTACCATAATTTGCTACAACAAGTCCAGGGATAGGCATAGTCAAGGTCCCTGGCTGGGACGGTTTCCCCACACTTGTAATCAAATTGTGCAATTGAACTATACCGCAACTGTTAATGCCACAGTCCTTACACGAGGTCTGACTCCCTCTACCCCTCATTATTGGGAGATAGTGCGAAATGTTTCTATATGGAATGCGTTAATGAATCAGGATTGCATCGTCCCCGATGTTTTCTGGGCCTGTAGGCGAGGCAAAATTTATGCCCAACTTCCAGATTATTGGGCAGGTCTCTGTGCTCACCTGGTGTTTATTTCAGATGTACATGTGGACATAGATCCCTTTTCCACCTCACCACACCGTCAGGGCAGACAAAAGCGTGCAACCTCTCCAGGAGGAAGTTTTGATGCACATGTATACATAGATGTTATAGGGGTTCCAAGGGGGGGTGCCTGATGAATTCAAAGCACGAGACCAAATAGCAGCAGGATTCGAATCCATTTTCCTCTGGCCCACTATTAACAAAAATGTGGAATGGATAAATTACTTGTATTATAACCAACAGCGTTTTATCAACCACACTCATGATGCTATAACAGGGGCAGCAGGATAGCTACAGATATGTGGTTTGGAAAATGGAAGGGTCTAATTACCTCCATTATGTTATCAATGGCCGTTTTTTTTTTTTGCCATTCTTGTCCTTTGTGGGTGTTGTTGCATCCAATGCATCAGAGCTCTATGTGTTAAGTGCATAGACAAAGCATTAAATGACAATGCTCCACCTTCTTCTTACCAATTAACCGTGGTAGAAGTGGAGGGTGTGGCACTAGTTTCTCTACCGACAACGGGATCCTGCAGGAAAGCGAATATGACGACCT